GACTTTTCATCAAAAGTCTATTATTCTACCTCAATAATATCTATAATAATTTGTTGACTTGAAATTTAAATATAATATTTTACACATAAAAAAACATGCTTAGACCATAATTTCTTGGGATTTAAATCAAATATTTTGTTATTATAATGTATTAATACGATAGGACTTTAAATTAATTGACTCATTCCCGAATTATTATGATCACTTTTAGTGAATATCAAACGGCGTGAACACTTTAAGAGCCAAAATTATTAATTTACAAAGAAAAAACATATCAATAAACATAGAAAAAATCAATTGACAAAAAAAAAATGAAAGCAATAAAATAAGCACTAAGAATTAATATTTGTTTCTCTGCCATACGTATACTAATTTAGTGGCGAAGCTAGAATTGGTCTAAGGGATGTTAAAATATAAAGAAATAAAATCCTGTAAAAGCCAATGAGTATTACTATGTAATATAAATATACATAAAAAATTATTTTAATTTTAGCTACATAATATAATTTTCCGACGAAGGGATGTCAGTTAACACCCCTTCCACTATATTCAGAAGATATTTTGATGCAATGATGATAAAATTCAAACCTTTTATTCTCACTTGACAAGGTCACAATATATAGCAAATGTTACTCCTGTGAAAGGCTTAAATTCAAAAACATGTTATAATATATCATCATATTACTAAAACTATATAAAAAAAATCGAAGGAAAATGCTAATAAGACAGAAAAATATGGCCAGAATTTAATAAAAAATGTATAAAGACTATACTAACCTTTTAATTTAAATAAAGAAAAATGCATTAAAGTAAGAATTTGGTTTGCAAAAAACCATTGCAATTCCTAGTACAATTCTAGATTTCTGTAACTTTATCCTCCTAAAATAAGTAGGGAAAATATTAAATAACTTATAAAGCGGCAAAAACTACACGAGTTTTGAATAAAATATACAAAATGTTATAAAATGACAAAAATAGTAATAAAAAAATTTAGGTACTATGAAAGTTCTTGTTCTTTTTACTTTCATACTCTTATTTCTGATTTTTATTATTGGAAAAACGCACAAGTACCCTTTCAATCTACGCTCGAAATTTCAGAGACACACTTATACTATACTAAGGTCCTATTATCCCCCTGAACTTATTTTATAAGTAATTTTTTAGTCCATTTCGGCTTACGTATCACTAGCTTGAAAAAAAAGTCAATCAGCGTTGGACCCACAAGATAGTGCTACGTAGGCCGAAAAGGGATAGAAAATTATTAATTGAATAAGTTCAGAGGGTAATAGGACCTTAGTACAGTATAAGTGTGTCTCTGAGATTTCGGGCATAGGTTGAAGGGGTACTAATGCATTATCTATTTATTATTTGATTTCATAGTATAAATTGAGAACACTTGCGTAAAGAATAAAGGCGTCGAATCACTTTTTATCTCTTATATTATGTCAATTTAATAAATTGTAAATTATTATTTATATTTGTTATTAAAATGACTTCGAATTAATGTAATCATATAACTCAAACATTTATTTTAATTATAAATAATTTAACGTCAACATTTTCCTCTTGAATATAATTTAACTTCAATATTATTCTTAATTATTTCCTCTTGAAATAAATGTTAGCTTTTTTTTTTTTTATATATAAAAAATACTCTTAGTTTGTTGTTAACTAGGGGTATCACTAAATTATTTAAAGATAGTAGTTTAATTTTTTATAACATAATTATTAGCAAATATGCAAAACTACAACATTATGTGTAACTAACTTTGATTCTTAAATATCATCGTCACTTATGAACTATATGATTTTAAGTATTTCAACAATGTGTATATCTATTAACTCTAAAGTGTTTTGAATTTTGATGTCGTTATCGAAATATTTCAAATTATATTTTTAATTTTATGCATAGCTTAATTTTTTAAAACATAATAATTACTACAATTACCTAATTAGAGCTCATCAAATTGGCATAACACAGGAGCAGTACAAGATTACAATATTAATGCTTGGCTCTTTGGTTTGTTATCTAGGGTTGATACATATGAACTAGAATATTTTGAGTTTTGATTGTTATTGTTATACTATTTTACATTATATTTAAAAAATGTAAAATGTAATTTAAATTCATTTATATAATAACTACAATAAATTACTTAATTTTAAAAATTCATAATTAGTTTCAAAAAATATTAATTTGAGAAAAAAAATAATATTAATTATATGACTATAACTATGTAAACTTAATATATTTTAACATATCATTTTATAACAAACATTTTTTTTAATAAAACAACAAATAATACTAATAAAGAGAAATATATATGTTATGAAACTTTAACAGTTCATGCTTAACAAATTTGTGTTATCATTATTATCGGAGAACTATATGAAGATGTTTTTCTTATAATTTTTTTTAAATCATAAAGAACTTTCTATATCCGTTCCGTATTATTATAATTTTTCAATGAAGTGACATCAACATTTCTATCCAACAAATATTTGCCTTGTATTCAAATAAAAAAAATATTAATTTACATGAGTCTTTATTTGTGTATGATATGATTCATATATATCTAGGATAGAAAGACAATTACATAATATGATAAACATTATTGTAGTTTCAGTCTTCTTCATATTTCACTCACATACACTCTAAGTATAATCAAGATAAAATATATTTTTATTATTTAACTTCTTTCTACAAATTCGATGCATAGCAACAACTCCCTTAAATAAATAGGGGTAATTGTGCATTCTGGTCAATTTCAGATTTTTAATTTTGACTATAATAAATATAATATTTTAATATTTAAATTTCTCTTTTTATCATTAAAAATAAGAAATGGAAAATAAATAAACAAAAAAGAATAAGCAACAAGGAGGAATTTTTGAAACGAAAAAAATAGTTTTTTACTATTTTTTATTAAGCTTTTTACTATTATGCTTACATTTTAAATATAATATTTTCTATTTAGATTTGAAAATTTCAAGAGAAAAGAGTGGTAAAATTTATGTTTTGTTTGGTGGATTTTGTGGTTCATTTTTAATGTTTAACTATGAAATCACAAATAATTAATCTTATCAATCATTTCAATGCATTGAAAATATAATTGAAGAATATATATATTAATTAGTTGAATTAAAGGGTAAAAATGTTCAAAAACAAACTAGTTTATAGTGGAACATGTACTTTTACAATTCTGACCAAATTTTTCTGGATTTTTCCTTTAGTTAATTACATTTGTTAAATATTATTGATAATCAATTATTATAATGAATAAATGGAGAGTTCATGTGTGCAAAGGAGAATTGTTTACTCTTCCAAATTTTAATGGAGATTCGTGGTATATATTTAATATTTTTAAAATTGTTCTCTTTTATCTATTTTGATCCTTTGAAATCTTCAAATTTTATTCAATTTAAAATTTTAATGTCTTTTGGTATCCCCTAATTATTATGTATATAAAGTCATCTTTTTTGTTTCATGAAACTCACATTCAAAATAATTATTTTCATTTTATAGTTAAAGTAGTGAAGCATCAACATCTTAAATATATGGTATATCTGTCTTAGTTTGATTTTATATCACTTTATGAAAATAAGGTTACTTTTTTATTTGATTCATGCTTTAGTTTAACTTGATGAAGAATTTTTAAATTTTGATTGAATATAAAAAAAGGTGTCGACAATATAACTTGAAAAATTATGTATCAATTTTGTATATGTTTTTCATTTATGTAATGTTATGATTAAAATTTTGAGAAGAATGTTTTTTTCTTTTTATATTTCTATAAATTATTATCATAATATTAATTTGATATTGTTATATTTTAGGGAAAATAACTTGTGTGTCTACTTTTTAAAAAATAATTACCATATTTGTCAGTATTATTTTTTTAACCATAAATGTCAATTTAATTGAATATTCAACTTCATATTTTTTCTCTCGCCTCAAAATTTTCCCACGCCTGCAATTGCAATTTTTTCTTCTCTCGCGACTGCAATTTTTTCTTCTCTCTCGCGATTGCAATTTTTTCTCTCTCTCGCAATTGCAATTTTTTTCCGGCGACTTCAATTTTCTCTCGCCATTGCAATTTAAAGGTTAGTGTTGAGTAAGATCTGTTAATTTAGGTTACTTGCACTGCATTCTGCGATTTTTGTTGGTCTACTTTGCACTTAACTGATCCTTTAATGTGAGCTTGCAATTGTGGTCTTGACAGTGCCCAGATCGTTACGCCTTTCTTCTTTTTGTGTGGATTTATGTTGAGATTTCATTTGATTTATGTTTACGTTACCTGTGTGCCTTTTTGTTTGATGATTTATGTTGAGATTTTGTTTGATTCAAGTTCCTGTGAGTGTCTGGTATTCAGTTCTCTTCTCTAATAAGTATGATCTCTTGTTAGCATCTGTATATTCATGTTTAATTCACTTTTTAGCATTTGTGTAATACAACTTCAATTCAGTTTTATTTTACTTGTTAGCATCTGTGTAATACAACTTTAATTCAGGTTTAATTCACTTTTTAGCATTTGTGTAATACTTCAATTCAGTTTTAGTTCACTTGTTAGCATCTGTGTAATACAATTTTAATTCAAGTTTAATTCAGGTTTAATTCACTTGTTAACATGTGTAATTCAACTTCAATTCAGTTTTAGTTCACTTGTTAGCATCTGTCTAATACAATTTTAATTCAAGTTTAATTCACTTGTTAGCATTTGTAATACAGCTTTAATTCATGTTTAATTCACTTGTTAGCATTTGTACAATACAACTTCAATTCAATTTTGGTTCACTTGTTAGCATCCGTGTAATACAACTTTAATTCTGATTTAATTCACTTGTTAACATCTGTGTAATACAACTTTAATTCAAGTTTAATTCACTTGTTCGCATATGTGTAATTCAACTTCAATTCAGTTTTAATTCACTTGTTAGCATCTGTGTAATACAACTTTAATTCAGGTTTAATTCACTTATTTGCATATGTGTAATTCAACTTCAATTCAGTTTTAATTCACTTGTTAGCATCTGTGTAATACAACTTATTTTCATGTTTGATTCACTTGTTAGGATTTGTGTGATAAATTTTTAATTTAGATTTTATTAAGATTTAATTTAGTTGTTAGCAAAGTGATGCTCTTCTAGCAGATTAATCTATATGTCTCTCTCTAGTCTTTTAATAATAGTAATACACTCTTTAATGATGTGCAGAAAAAATATGACTAATATAGCGGTGATGCTTTACTTCAATGGACGATGGGATCCTAGCAACAAATATATTAACTACTTGGCAGATGGTGTGTTGATACACACAGAGTCAACGTTTGCCACCCTCGTTTCTGTAATTGCTACTCAATTGTCAATAGACACATCAACAAGTAAAGTTGAAATAAGATATAAAATTGATGAAAGGTCTCCTCCAATTCAAATTCATAATGATATGGGGGTAAAGGTATATCTTGAAACTAAAAAGGAACATCGAGATATGACAAGATACCCTTTATGTGTCACAACAACTGAACCAGTCAACTTGGAGACTAATGCTGCACTCATTCCACTTTTGTGTTCAGACACTTCAGGAGATATGAGGGTTATACACAATTCATACTTCTCTAATACATTTAATGGTATTGATGAAGCAATAGGGTTAATTGGATTCGGATCATGTGAGGAAGTTGATGAGCTAGAAGAATTAGCACCAGGCATCATTATTAATCCCAATCACTCTTTATTTGAAAAAGATCAGGTGTATAAGAATAAATATGTCCTCACTAGTGCACTAAAAAGACATTCCATTCTTAATCATTTTCAATTCAAGACAACAAGATCAAGCGCAATAAGGTAAGACCTAAATTCAAGTCACTTTAAATTATTAATTGTGTATTAATATTTTTTCTACAGCTATTCGATACAGTGCCTAGGAGAAAGCTGCAGTTGGAGTTTACGAGCTTCAAGCTTGAACAAATCTGAAATGTTCAAGATTAGAGAATTTGAAAGCGAACACACTTGTTTGTTGCTACATAATTCATTATCGGAAAGGCTAGCAACTAAGAGTGTTGTTGGGAGTATTATTGTGGGTAAATATGCTGAACCAGATGCTAATTACACACCAAAAGACATACAACGTGACATGTTAGCTGAATATGGTGTGTGACTCACATATATGCAAGCTTGGAGAGCTAAAGAAGCAGCTCTTGAATTAATCCGGGGTGATCCAATTCAATCATATGCAAAGTTGCCAAGCTACTTTCACATACTAGAGGCGACTTACCCTGGTTCTCATATAAGATTTCACAAATCAGAGGATGACCGTTTTTATATGCGTTTGTAGCTTTGTTCACCTCGATAAAAGGATGGGAATATTGTAGACCAATTGTAGTTGTTGATGGAACTTTCTTAAAAGGAGCATACAAAGGGACACTGTTAACCGCTAATACCTTAGATGCAGCAGGTCAAACTTTCGAATATGATACTGTTTTTTATATTGAATTTTTGAACTATGTATTAAAATTGAATTATGATTGCAGTAAAAATGTATTAAACTTGTATTAAAAAAAGTGTACATGGTGCAGGGAGTATATTGCCACTTGCTTATGCTATTGTCGATTCAGAGAATGATTCATCTTGGGGGTGGTTTTTTGAGCAATTCAGAGATGCATTTGGTCAAAGACCAGAGATGTGTATCGTTTCCGATAGGCATGCAAGCATTATTAAGGCAGTTTCAACAGTTTATGATGAAGTACCTCATTTTGCATGTATGTGGCACTTACTGCAAAACATAATGAAAAATTTCAGAAGAAGTCAACAAAGGGTCACTGAGTTGTTCTACTCTATGGCAAAAACATACACCATGACAGAATTTAATCAATGTATGACAATGGTTGAGAAGATAGATAAGAGGATCAAAGATTACTTGTTGAACATTGGATACAACAAATGGTCGCGTGTGCATGCTGAAGTAAACAGAACTTGGATGATGACATCAAATATAGCAGAATCAGTCAATTCACGAACAAGACATGCCAAAGTTCTTACAGTCTTGCAACTCTTGGAATTCATGAGACAACTTGTACAGAAATGGAATAACAATAACAGATCAAAGGCGACATTTTCAGGTTTTCACCTTGGAAAAAAGTATGAAAATATATTGCGGCGCAATAAAACTGCATCAGAGAAATTAAAGGTATGCCTAATCTGTTTGCTAGTATTTTTTCTTCGGATTCATATCTAACATCTCTCTTGAATATATTTTTTTTCATAGGTTGTAGAGACAAATAAATATGTGTATACCGTACTTGATGGTATTACACAATTCACAGTATGTCTTCACCAACGTACATGCACATGTGGGAGATTTCAATTGGATGAGTTACCATGTCCACATGCTTTGGCCGTTTTAACAATAAAACACACTGGTTATGAGAAATATTGTTCGGCTTACTATACAAGAAAAACTTTATTGTTGACATATCAATTTCAAATGGATCCCCTGCCAAATGAAAGTACATGGAACACACCAACACATGTTCTTCAAGATATTGTACTTCCACCTCATGGAAAGAGACCTCCGGGAAGGCCAAAAAATAAAAGACATACTCAACTGAGAGAAGATGGATTCAAGAAGGCGAAAATTACATGCAGTAATTGTGGACAACATGATCACAACAGGAAGACTTGCAAAAATGTCAGGCCTTATGATCAAGAATAAAAAAATAATTTGTTTAGTTCCGCAATCTCGTGTTATTCAGTTTAATAGAATGCTTTCTTAGTTGTGCAATCTCATGTTATTCAGTTTACTGGAATGTTTCTATGTGTATAGTTACATTTTATATGATATATAGATGAAATGATATAGTTTACTGGAATAACTCAGTTGAGCTTGAGGCTTGGAAATGTCTTGCTGAGTATAATTGTCAGGTTGGGGAATTTGGGTGATGCTTGGTATGTTTTTGGTTTGTTAGTATTTTTGTAATATAGCTCTTTGTCACTTGTTAGTATTTGTGTAATACAACTTTAGCTTAGGTTTAATTCAGGTTTAATTCAATTGTTACCATTTGTGTAATATATATTTAATTCAAGTTTAATTCAGGTTTAATTCAATTGTTACCATAATATAGATTTAATTCAAGTTTAATTCAGGTTTAATTCACTTGTGGAAATTTTAAGATTAATGTCTTGTTCTAATTCTATAAAGAAAAATAGGATTTCAAAAAAATAAATAGTATCGATTCGTAACACAGAAGTTCATATATTTGCAACCAAAAAAAATACATGATTTTTTTTATAGTTTTCACAACTTATTGAGGTTTCATGTTCACCTCGAAAATTACAATTTTTTACTACTCAAATTACATATTCAAATAAAACTATAACTTTAAATCAACCTAATTACAATTTTTTACTACCATTTCCTGCCATTTTTACATAAGCATTCATAGTGTCATTCAAACAGAAGTATGAGGAGCATTGACTTTTTTAAACTCAATCATGCATACTTCCAGCAAGCTGGATAGACATGGGCAGCAGCTTGTTGCTCCCAAACAAACTAACATATGTAGCATTCCAACTGCAAAGACAAAATTCCTTAGAGGAAGTACAAACAGAAAGGATCAATAAGGACACAAAGAAGGAACAACTTCAAATAGAAGACTTACATATAAACAACACAGTTAGGTATATAATATCAAGACTTACAAAATAGACCAATACAATTTTTCATAGCCATAGTAACTACAAATTGTTTTACATTATATAGTTTTCATAGTCATACTAACTAATATAACTATATTCCTTTATCTAACTGGTCTTTCGTCTTCACTTTGAAGGTCACTCGCTTGCTTCCTTCTTGCATATTCCCATAATATAGCTCCAAATCTCTTTCGGACAATGTCTGCCTTTACTTGTTGATTTTGAATATGTTGGCCATTACTTACAAACTCCGCAAATGCAGCAACGAAAACTCCACAATCCCTACAAAATTCAATATAAAATTATTATCAAAAAATCAATTTAATAACTAAAAAAAACACATATTTAATAATACTTACAGTGAATCCTCATTTTGTCTGGGAACATCTTTAGTTATGAAATGAAACTCAATTTTCTCGAACTCATTTATCTCACTGTATTTTGGTGTTGACTTCAATTCAGGACGCTTATCATAGAACTTAACCACACTTAGATAATATGGTAAAACAACCGAAAGCATCTCAACAATATTTTTTACCTCTAAATTCACCCCACCCCTAGCCGGAAATGAATCATACACCTCCAATGACCTTTGCCCAATATCAAACACCACAAAAATCCAGTGACGATTCTCTTTAATGTTTAGTGGAATAAGAACAAAATCCACTTTATCCCACGAGGTACTTGCCAACAAACGACGTCCACTGATATACCGGGCAATATCATCAGAATCTAAAACTTTAAAATTTTTCTTATCCTCATGAGCATCACAAAGTTTAAAGAAAGAATTGGTAATCTTTGTCTTGAAAACACAATCACTCGTCGTAAAACGAACATTACTGTTGGTATCATATTTTCCTTTCTTTCTTAGGTAATAGAAAATGACATCAATATGCTGCAAAAAAAAAACTTATGAAACAGAATAGTGAAAGAACAGTGCAGAAATTTCAACTCAAAGTTAAGGTAAAACTCTGTTTTCGCCCCAAGTGTGGCTCATTCATCACATATTGGTGAAACACAACAGTGATAGAACTTATGAAGATGTTCAATTTCTACCCAGAAAAAACTTAGAGACAACAGTAACTTACTGAAGCTGACATATTTTATATAATATTCTAGCTCATGTATATGCATATATGTGGATTCTTAATGATACAATGAACCTCAAAAGAAAAGAATTGAAGCTAAAATGACAAGAACATGATTACAAGTTTCATTCTTTTCGCAATATCCTGAGCTTTTGTCCCTCTTGAAAGACAAAGACAAAGGGAACAAGAACAGAAAGAAAAATGACTTGCAAGCTATAGAATTACAACGTCACACAACTAAAGAGCTTCAATAGATGAAAAATACAATCTATCTACACAACTAAACAGAAAGAATTTTAGTTGAGACAAAGACAAACTCAAGATTAAGAAACAGAACGAATCAAAGAAATATTAATGTCCAACTAAAATTTATATAACAAACCTCATCACACCATTGTTGTCCAGAATGTGCCAATTTGAAAAACCAGAGTCTTTCATCTACTGTACAGACACCCAATTCAAATGCTGGATTGATAACATTAAGAGCATCTGTATAAGGTTTCTTTCCCCTATCAAAACAGAACAAAAATAAACAAATACTCAAAACCGAGACAGGAACAACTAAAAAAGAGGCAAATACGAAACTAAAAAAGAGGTACAGAGCGTTCCACAAATTGAATTAAGCTTGTATATATTATGAATTAGGAAAATTATCCCAAAAACATCAAAATAAATTACCTCTTTTTTGTACCCATATAAAGCCACTTAGTGAATGAATCGATCAAATCAGATTCATCATCTCCTCCGCTTGCATATAAAAAAGGATGTTTTGTCTCAAAAACCTGACGTGTAACACATAAAGTTCCTCCAGATTCAAAATGTTGTGTGAAGGGAGATGTTATTAACTTTCCTGGATTTTTCTTTCTGCCACGTTTCTTCGGTGACACTTTCTTTTTGTTTTGATCAACTTGGGCTCTTTTTTTTAGATAAGATTCTTCAGTCCTATTGATCTGAGAAAGATCTTTATCAAGTAAAATAAAGTCATCTAAAGTATGCAAAGGTTTTTGACAATCCTCTGTTGCATCTGCATATAATAGATATATTGATTAATTTACAATCAACAGATGCAACACTTATTTATGTTGGTTTTTTTTACTACATTACCATCAGGTTTCGCCCCAACTGTATTCACATCAGCAGCCTCTTGGACTGTAAGCCAAATAAATATTTTAATAATGTTATCAAAATAAATCGAAAGAAGTTTAGTTGAAGTTAAGAAAATGAATACCATTTATATCAGCAACAACCTCTGATAGAACTTTTTCAATAACAATTCCTGCAACATCTTCATCTGTACATAACAAGAACATTTAAAAAAACAGAATTGAATTAAAATATATGAAATATGTAATATATTTGTATAAAATCCTTCATTACCTATTTTACTTGATACTCTTTCAAGATTTTCAACATCAGCAAATCTAACTGTAGCTTTAAGCACTTGAGATTCTTCATTTTTATTTGATCCCATAACATGAGCATCGTTCCCTCTCGATTCATTTACAGATGCATTAACACGGGGAGAAAATGCTGTATATGTAATTAACATATTATTAAAAAAAACATATCAAAGTTAACTGAAAAATGAAATATCGAATTCGTGTCATTTATAAACGAACCTCCATTAAAATCTAATCCACCTGAAAATGTCTCGTCAGCATGCTTCTTAGATGGTTCCTTAACTTCTCGAATAACAGAGCTGCTACCACCACTCTTAGCAAACAGCAAAGAAATATCCTCCAATAATTGTTTGTTTGAGTTCACCACAAATTCTTTGATTTGATTGAATCCTAAATCAATCTTCTCTTCAAGCGCTTTGTTATTTTCATTCACCTAATAGATATTAAATCATAACGAAAATATTAAAAAATAACAGTTTTAAAATAAAAAGCCTAAAGTTTAGTTTGTGTATACTTTTACAAGCTCTTTTCTCAATTCTATGACTTCATTGGTCAAAATGTCTAGACCATGATTTGATCCTTTAGGCTCCAATTTCAAAATTTCAGCATGGTAATCACGAGTTTCAGGAAGCCTGAATTTGGATACTTCATCTTCACTGACCACTATGTTCTCAAACTGAAAAACCAAATACACAAAATAACATTAGATATAGTAACTTGAGTTCAAATAAACAATGTAATAAAATGTATTAACTTTGTACAAATACCTTGTTTTTTGTAGGCATGAAGAGACATTTCTCAATATATTTTAACCATGGACTTTCTGCAATTGTCTTCCAATTCAAGATTCTTGGAATAGAATCAGCAACACGAATAGCTATATCTTCATCAACCTTTGAACAACACTCAAATATCCAAATTTGAAGAGCAAGAGGCAAGCCACCAATTCTATAGTACTTATGTGTTGACTTAAGCTCATGCCTCACAGAATCAGACAACTTTTTGTAGACATCTAAACCCCACGGATATGAATTGAATTTTCCACTTTCCACAAGGTAAAAATCTCTATTGCTAATTTGGTATTCGTTGTCCTCATATGAAAATAAAAAATCATTAATGAAGTATAGAACAGCCAATGAAACAGCCGAGTCATCATCTATGAATTTTTTAGCTAAAAACAGTGCACGTAGATGACTCTTTGGAACTGTGATTTTTTCCGGAAAATAACTACTCATCAAACTACATCTAGAATTGGGAACATTGATAGATGTGCCATCACCAACACAATTTAAGCCTGTAACTATCCCAAATTCTCTAAGACCAAAAAATAACTTTTTGTTATTTATTTCAATAGCAAACACATCATCCGGTGTGTGTTTTAACTCTCTATTTATAAGACAATGAATAAGTTGTAGTTGTGTGCTTGATTTTGGAAGGTCAAGAAAGTACCCAAAACATGTATTCCTAAACATCTCAAGTTGTTTATCAGATAAAGATAGTTTGATTTGTTCAATGACACTATGATTAGTGTAACATGACCACCTACTCGAAATATACACAACATCAGGATGTTTCCAGAATTTACGATCCTGCATATGCATTAAACATGAATTAAAAATGTGTTACTACATACTAAAGATGAATAAAAAATGAATTAAAGTTGAATTAAAGTTGAATTAAAGTTCAACTAAAGTTGAATTAAATATGAATTAAAGTTGAATGAAAGTTGAATTAAAGATAATTTCACATACTACATCTAAAAAACAAGCAGCAATCAACATACAACCCATTGCTAAACAACAAATAACTAAGAAGTACTAGCACATACCGGATATCTACTCTCTGGTAGAATGACACTTTTGGGTAAACGATTTCGTGTTTTTCCATCATTCACCGGCCTTTTCTTCTCCAATCCATCTTTATTTTTCAAACTTTTTGACTGAAATTGAGGAGGTAAATCCTCAAAATCATCATCACTGTCAACGATTTTCTTCGATGTAGATGCCAAAGTAACACATATTTTTTTTGATTTCTTCATTGTTTTAACCTCTTTAACTCGTTTTTTACCTTTCTTTTGCTTCTTGTTTTCTTCCTCATTGTTCTTCTCCTCATTGTTCTTCTCTCCCGAAATTTGTGATATACCCAAACTAAAACTTGGAATTTCATCCATAGAATTAGAAGACGAAACTTGAAGCTTCTTTCGATTTCTTCGATAAACTTTTCGATTCGAAGCCGTCACTAGACGCGGACTTCTTCTAAGACCTTCTTCCATTAAGATTCGTGCAGAAAAATGGAGAAAAAAAGCAAACAGGAACCCTAATTTTTGACGAGGAGAAGGAGAAAGAAAAAAAAGAGCGAGAAAGGATATGAACTTTGTTTAAAATTTGTATAAAAAAGGAATAAATGGGTTTTAAATTGTTTTAAGTTAATATAGCTAAAAGTTGACAAAAATAGTAATAAATAAAAAGTGTACTTAAAATTGATAATTATAAAATAAAAGGTCTTTGTTTATGTAATTTTTCCATTTTAATACTCATATTTTGATTAAATTTTATTCATTCTAATGAATTTATAACATATTGCACAAAGCACACCTATTTAGAAACTAGTAAAATAAATAAGACAAAAAAAATTATATAGAATAATATAATAATAAAAAAAATATTAACAATATATATGTTTAACTTTGATAACACTGCTTCATTCTTAATCAAAGTTGTTTCATTTGATTATTCTTAATCAAAGTTGTTGTTCTGAGTCCCTGCTGCCGGGGGCTCGAACGTGGTAGTTAAAATTGTACCATTCATTTTTGTGGCGTTGGTGGTAAATAAATTAGAAGTTAGGAGATTTCGACATTAAGGGGAAGGTACGGAGGAGGCTCTCAATCCACCAACCGACACTACAGGGTCTCTTTTATGTTTTTTCTTAGCTGTGTATCTTTTCTTTCTCAGCTCACCTTTTTCTCTTTCAGATCACTCAAGATTTTCATCCTTAATTTCAGGTGTGTTCTCAATCTCTTTTTTTTTTGTTATGAGATCTGTATTGGAAACAAATGGGTTTTAATTGATGTGGGTCATTTCTAGATTGGAGGGTAGTTGTTATTATGTGATCTGTTGTTGGATCTGTTAGGGTTCTTTGTCTCTTTTCAATTTTGAGTTGATTACTATTTGTATTATGTATAAAGTTTCAGTCTTTATGAGAAATTTGTTCTTTTTTATGGGAAATGAACAAAGCAAGTATATGGTTGGATTTTAGTCTATAATTAGTTTGATTTTTGTGTCTTTAATCTGTAGTTTACTAGAATTTGTTCTCATTGATTCAGACAATCCATGATGTTTCTGCTAATATACATGGGTCTTTCCAAAAAGAGAATATGCTGTGTTGATTGAGGGAGTTGACTATCTCTTGGTTTGCAAACATGATTAGTTTTCGTGCTATTGTTTCCTTCTTGAAATGAATTGGCTCGAATGGAAAAGGATATATGTGGCTTCAGTTTCTTTTTTTAAAAGGAGGTAGGGTAGAATTTTAGTAATTCACATTATAGTAGTAAGAGGGATTTTTTGTGTACCCTTTGGGGTGAGGACCTTCCCTGGATCCTCTTAATGCAGGATGCTTTGAGCACCGTCTGCCCTTTCTCAATAGCACTACGAGGGAGCTACGAAGTTGCAAAAAAGAATAACAAGAATCTTCTTTCAACTATGCAGAAAGTCTATAAGCTCCATCTTGATATCGAAATCATGAACAGCTTTCGTGTTACACAAAAGAAGTACTCTCTTAGCAGTTGAACTTTAGAAAAGATGAGGAAGAATTTCTACCTTCTAAATATCTGTGTGGATTTGTATTTGTTGAACCTAACTAGTTTGGAATTGACGGATAGTTGGCTGATTGATTGAGTTTTTCGAAATTTTGATGAGCTAGAATTAAGAATCAGATATCAGATACATGATTTCCCATCGGAGAAAAAAAATAATCAGACACATATATCCATAATGGCTGTATGAGTTTCACAGTAGTTAGTTACCCTAGCTGATTGTCAAGAGTTTATCCATTTTCTTGTATAGGACAATCACTTAGTGAGAGAGAAATGAGATATCCTTCTCCATGAAGTCTGGAAAGCTCTTCTGCTTAGATGTGGAATGGAAAATCCTAAGGTTACCTTTTTCCTTTTTGAAATGAGTTCATATAAATCTTGTTCTTGGTATTTACGAGCAGTGTAAGTTTTTGCAAAGGACATGAGTTTCAAAGCTCAAGACAAATTAAACAAACTGTTGGTAGTGTTGCTTTGGCTTGCAACAATTAATTCTTTGGACTCTGCTTGCAACCGTGTAGAATAATGGGCAGATTATCCGTGAAGCTGGGCAAGAGAGTCTTACCTTTCAGAATGATCAAAACATGCTTAGAAATTTTCCAGCTGATAATGTTGCACTTTCTATTAAAAGACTTCCAAAATTTATTCCTAATTCAGTCTTTACTAATCTCTGCACTACTAATTCCTATTATTAGTAATCTGTGCACTACTAAACCTTGCATTGTAGTGACTCGATAAGATTTTGAGTGTTTCACTCTTTTGATTCTTGAACAATCAAAAGAATACAAATAATCAATTCAGTGTTTCAAATTTTCCAAATAAACATGCATATATGCATTTTCTCTATGACCAAAGATGGCAATTTTAGAGTGAAACTTAGAAGTAATATAAACAAAAGCTATAGATACCAAAGAAAAAACTACAGTAATTCAGACTAAAAATAAACAAACAACTAACATCAACTCCACGACTTCATTATATGCAGAACAAAAAGAACTCTGATACTCAGGAACCCTCTAGGCAAAAAGAAATTCCAGTCTATGTGGCTTGTTGACTGGATCACATCTTTTGAAGATTCATACCTAGCAGTTCCTTTTCTAGTTTCACATTACAATCAGAGTGAAACACGAAACTGGTGGACAAGATAGTAGACAAGGAGGTTATGGTTTTTGTACATTATTAGAGGTTCAGGACTTATCCATGATAACTGTCTACCTATAAATTTATAATTTGAAGTTCTTAGTAAAGGGGAATTACATCCTATTGTCTATAAATAAATTTTTGTTCACTTTTTCTGAAGGCTGATAAAATGTTTCTGTTTCCTGATGCGACAGGTTATGATATTTATATACACTGTTTCGTTCACAACTTTGTATTTCATCTCCTTTACCCCTCCTCTTAACCACTCTTTCTCATTTTTTACTTGCATCGTGGGTAGCTGGACGATTAAATTCGAGCATCGTGTTCCTCATAATGCAACTGCGCTCTAATTTGCTGACAGGTTTCTTTATTCAAGGATTGTGCATATGGATCATGAGACAGGCGAATCGTTGGATTCTGTGCCTTCAGATAATGTGAGTTGTGAGCATGGTGATTTTGAATGCAATATCTGCTTTGAAATAGCTCAAGATCCTATTGTGACTCTTTGTGGCCACCTTTATTGTTGGCCTTGTCTTTGTGAATGGTTGCAAGTTCATTCACATTCCCACGAATGTCCAGTTTGTAAGGCTCTCATTGAGGACCAGAAGTTAGTTCCTATATATGGTCGAGGCAAGACAACCTCTGACCCAAGGTCTCACATACGTCCAAGGATGAACATTCCTAACCGTCCAGTATTTGGACCAAGACCACAAACAGCTCCAACACTAGATATGAACTATTTCCGACCCGATGAGTTGGATCAAATGGGGGGATTTATGCCTATGGCCAGTGCAAGGTTTGGAAACTTGACATTATCTACTCTTTTCGGAGCTATTCCATCTTTTTTTAATCTTCATGTGCAAGGATTTCATGATGCTACTGTATATGGTGCAACAACAGGAGTTCCATACCTCTTCTCTAGTTCACTTCATGGGGGTTATGCTCATGGATTTCATCATTCAATCCATGTAGATGGTACTAAGTTTTTTATCAAGATGTTTCTCTTGATTATCGGTTTCCTCTTAGTTGTTTCCTTAATTTTGTAGAGAATGTCATAAATTAATTAAGATGTAGCATTGTTAATCATGTGTATATATGTTTAGAGTAGTAGACTTATATTTATGTTTAGCAAAGCAGGGTGCTCAGTTATCCTTCATTATATTCAGAGTTAGCCTTACTTATTGTTGTCCAGATTTATAGCAGGTAAATTCAATCTCATCTTCATACTCTCCAACATATATATATATTCAATATGGCAACTGAATGGAAAATAGTTGAAATAAAAACAATGTATTAAGACTAACGACAACGTAATACAAAGAAAAGTAAAGTTTCTGTTAAACAGAAGATCTACAGATTGGACAATTCTTCTTGCCCCTCAGCAGCCATTGTTGTATGCAATTTGCGTGATATTCATGTCCACAACTGAGTGTACCAATTGTGTCGTTGTTTACATAATCAGATAGACATATGGAACATATCTCTTCTGAATCAACTTTATTAACACAATGATTTGTGGTTTTCATCATCACAATTTCCTCCTCCTGCTGCTGCTGCTGCTGGCTTACTTCAGTGTGATGGGCTGGTAGATCAATCAAAGCTGTATCATCAAATGGCTGTGCGCTGAGACGAGCTATTAATTGATTGACATCATCAGTTGGTTGATGAATGAATTGATGATGATAAGTATAAGGATCCCAGAAAACAGAGTGTGGAGCCAAGTGACGATGAGTATATGGATCCCAGAAAACAGTATTTGTTGAGGGATGATTGTGGGGTTGTGAAGGAAAGAGAGGAGCAGCATTATCAATGACAAAGACACCGTCAATGTATTGACCGTGTGTGAGAAACAGAGCAGGATCCGAATTCATACTCATCATAACAACAAACACAGAAACAAAAGTAAAATTTTGCTTCTTTTCAAGATTAAGTTGGGGTTTTGCAGAACAAAGAAAAGAGAGCTGCAAATATGAATTCAATAGCAAAAGCTCACACACACACATCTATATATACATAGACAGAGAGAGATGGTTACCATAATATTTCCTTAACAGAAAGTTTCCATAAAAAATAAATTGACACGGTTGCCATAATGTTTCCTAAACTAATAAATCGACACGCTTGCCAATTACAAATTAATTACCTTACATATCCTGATTACACGCAATACAAGGAGAGAGAGAAAATCAGAAAAAAATAAAAATAAATCACTTAAATACAAAAAATAATTAGTATTTTGTTAGGTATGTAACTATGTTTGTAATTAAATATAAGTAGATTAATATTTTGTTGAAGTGTTAAGTAATATATTTTTGTAATTTTTCCTATTTAGTATTATTTGTAGTAAAATATTTGTATCTTTCAAATATATTGTTTATTACTTTCATCATAAAAATTTATATTCCCGTGTTTCAATTTATTTGTTTTATAGTTACTATTTGGATAATCAAAATGGTATACCATAATATTTACAAGTACATTGTAACCACATACCATAGATGGAATCCCTAATTTGATGTCTACAAATGTCTTCGGCATCAAGGTTGTCGGAGTGTAAGCTTGATGATACTCAAAAACAAGACTTGAAGTATCCATAGAAATAGAGCTATCATCTTTGCAGCTTTGTGGCTTCAGATTTGTCTATTTGATTTGTGAGAGAAGAAATGAAGATCGTGCAAAGTAGGCTTCAGCTGCGCGATCGGGCACCAACTCCGATACTATTCAAGTCTTCTCTTTACGTTTTAGGAGCGGTGTTTTTGTCTTTCCTCATCTCATAACCCTAATCCATGACTATTAACTTTCCCGAGAAGTCATATTCTAGAAGATTTGATAAATTACGAGAAACACTTTTTCTATTCTTACCTTACCCTTCATGAAGCAAGATCTAAGACTAATTTTCAAAATCTCTTTCCTAAGTTATTCGTCAAAAGGCATGTTTGAAAACTCTCTACTTCAAACTAGTCATACATGATTCATATTTTATTATTCATGTTTACTAAATAACGAATTGAGGTAAGGGTTGAGAGACAATTTCATGAAAATTGATTACAAATAATGTTCCTCTCTTGTTAATTGTGTTCAAATTACTTTATTATTATTTCAGAATTCAGATTATTGGTTTTGAATGAGTGATGTACCTCATATGATTTACGAAAAGATCTTTTCCAATAAATAACAGATTAGAAAATGTAAATTATACATAAATTTCATATTGTAAGGACCTAAATTACATTCTATTCCTATTCTTTTTCAATTTACAAATCTCTTAAAATTACTGCTATTCGGATACATAGCATACAAATCAGATACAATAAAACGACTCAGTTACACTTTTAAAGGAAAGAGAATATTAAAACAAATTAAGTTACTTTTCTAAAAGCAGAGAATTTACAATTGAATGTGAGTTCCCTAAATCACTCTAATCTAATTGATTTTTTTTTATAGCTAAATAATAGAAAGTTCCAATTTTTTTTTAAAAAATTAACTAATTAAACCAACATCACAAATAGTAAAAAAAGAAACCCAAATAAATAAATAAAATGAAATCAACAATAGAAATAGAGTTACTATCAGGGAAGCATTTTTTTCTGTTTGGTGGTGATTTTGGAGTTGAACCGGAGGTCGTTTGTGGTGGCTTTTGATGATTTTGTCCGACTAAAAAAAGGAAAAAATATGTAGCTACAAATCATTTATTATCATATTTTCTTATTGTCTTATTATTTCAAGAAAATATCGAAAATACCCTCTTTTGCTCCCATCATTTTCTTTTTGGAATATATTAATTTGAAATTTCATACCCATGATTTTCTTTCCCTTTTGAAAGCCACAAATCTCTCTACAGTTAGCTACATTTATTCATTTTTCAATTTCAAGTCTTTTCTCTTTTCAATTAATGATTTCATGTTATTCAAGAGGTAGATTTCTTTTCATCACTTCAACTTTTAATTTCTTTTAAACTTTTTTTTTTTAGTTTTTTCATCTTAAAAGACTATTGACTTTGTTTGGTGTCTTTACTAGAAGAGGGATAGAAAACCTTGCTAATGCAATTGTTGCTTGCTACACTATTAATAGGTGTATGTCGCGACCCTTACTAGATAAAACCCCTTATGAGCTATTAAAGGGAAGAAAACCAAACATCTCGCATCTAAGAATATTTGAATGTAAATGTTTTATTCATATTAATGGAAAAAATCTGTTAAAAAAAGTTGATGCAAGAAGCGATGAGGGAACCTTTTTAGGATACTCCATGCATAACAAATCCTATAGGGTAATGAACAAACGAACCATTTGTGTAAAAGAAAGTAAACATATTGTCTTTTATTAGTATAATACTATGACTAATCAGAACTTGCAGGAAGATGATAAAATCTCATAGGCATCCATTGATAATGCAAAGGAACATGAAAAAGGAACAGGTCTCCTCCATGAAAATGATGAGACCAACATCCACGATCTTACAATCAGGAAAAAAAACCTAGAAAGAGTGTCTAAAGAAGAACGAACAGAACCTACTGATAATCATACTACAGAAACTCCACATTTGGTTCTAAAAGATAACAAGTATCAAGGATCACATCCTCTGGACAATATACTCACACTGATCGTACCTCCGGAATAACCACCAGATCAGGAATGAAAAATCATTGCGCCTTTAATGCATTTTTGTTTATGATAGAACCAAAGAAAATAAAAGAAGCCCTACAAGATGCGGACTAGATAATTTCCATGGAAGAAGAACTGAACTAATTCGAAAGAAGTAAACTTTGGAACCTTGTACCCAAATTACCAAAGAAAACTATAGTTGGTACAAAGTGGGTATTCGGAAACAAGTTAGATGAAAATGGTACAATAACTAGAAACAAATCAAGAATGGTAGTTCAAGAGTATAATCAAAAAGAAGGGATAGATTATGATGAAGCGTTCGCACCTCTGGCAAGGTTAGAAGCAATTAGGTTACTCATAGCATTTGCAGCACACATGGAATTCACCTTGTATCAAATGGATGTAAAAAGTGCATTTCTCAATGGATTATTGAAAGAAGAAGTGTTTGCCAAACAACCGTATGAGTTTGAAGAAATTGACTATCCTGACCATGTCTATAAACTTGAAAAAGCTCTTTATGGGTTAAAACAAGCTCCAAGGGTATGGTATGAAAGGTTGTCAAAATTTCTCCAAAGCCATGAATATCCAAGAGGTAAAATTGAGAATACATGTTTTCTCAGAAACAAAGGAAAGGATCTATTAATTGTACAAGAATATGTAGATGACATCATAGTTGGAGCAACAAACAAAGCACTTACAAACGAATTTGCAAAACTAATGAGCAATGACTTTGAGATGAGCATGATTGGAGAGTTAAACTATTTTCTAGGGCTTTAGATAACGCAATCACCTACATGCACATTAATTCACCAACAAAAATACGTCAAGGAACTACTTAAAAGATTCAAAATGGAAGATGCAAAACAAATAGATACCCCATTATCCACAACCACTAAGTTAGACCTCGAAGGATAAGGTTCTGCTGTAAAGCAAAAATTGTATAGGTACATCATTGGTTCACTTTTGTATATTACTGCTAGCAGGCCTGATATTGTGTTTAGTGTGGGCTTGTGTGCTCGTTTTCAAACCAACCCTAAGGAATCCCATCTCCAAGCTGTCCAGAGAATTCTTAGATACTTTAAAGGGACCACTGATTTAGGACTATGGTATCCAAAAGGGAGTAAAGTTGAATTAGTAGGATATGCTTATGCAGACTATGTGGGTTATCTAGTAGATAAAAAAAGTACCACATGTATGGCTCACTTCTTTGGATCATGTCTATTCTTGTGGGGATCAAAGAAACAAAACTCGGTTGCATTGTCCACTACTGAAGCTGAGTATGTAGCAGAAACCTCATGTAGGCTCAACTTTTATGGATTAAGCAACAACTTAGTGATTTTGGTCTAAGTATTAAACGAGTTCTAATTTTCTGTGATAACACGAGTGCAATCAACATTGCAAAAAGTTTGGTACAACATAAGAGAGCCAAACTTATTGACATTCTTCATCACTTTTTAAGAGACAATGTGGAGAAGGGTCAAATTTCTCTAAATTTTTGTGCTACTGACCAAAAAAATTGCTGACATTTTCACAAAGGCATTAGCTAGGAACACTTTGAAAGGAACATTTATTTGGGAGCTCACAGACTTGAACCTCAAAAACTCATCATCCTACACTAAAAAGGTATGCCTACTTTACTTAATTAAGTGAGGACAAAATATTAAGGCTTGTACACTAACACTCGTTCCTGCATTAAATACCGATTGGAAGGATTTTTTCCGCCAAAATCAAAGCAACCTCACCTTTATATCAAAAATCAACTTATTTCTCTTCCCCATAAGCTCTTCTGTTTCTTGTAACTACTCTTAAAAACCAAAAAAACCCTTTTTTGTCTTTCTCTCCAACAGGGACTCATTCTCTCCCTCACCCTTCTCGCATATGAAAACATCAATACCCATTTTTCAACGGCGTCCTCATGCAATCTCCATCTTGCCATTATTCCCTTTGCAAGTTCATGTGATCTTTTAAAGCTACCTGCTGTCATGTGTTAGAATATGTGCGACCACTACCAGTCAACGGACCAGGTCCCGGGACACAGCAAGAACAGTGCGGAATATTAAACAATATAAAGAACACAATACAAGCAGTTTACATGGAAACCTCCTTACTCAAGGGAGTAAAACCACGACCTGTTGCACAGGATTTACAACCGTCTTCACTAATCTTCTCAAGCAAAAGCGAAACCCGGTTAGAATCAATGTGAGAAAAAGTTATTGATCTCACGATTGAGTAACTTACCTATTACTTGAAGATCCTAAGAGGATACAACACCGCTCACTAAACCACCTAACTCTAGATCACTTAGAATTTGACTAAGCAACAAACCAATGTTGCCCACTAAATCAATTAACCTTAACTGATTTAGACTTTTACAAATCCAAAACAAATATCTGAATCCTGTATAGATTAGGAACAGATTTACAATGTAAGTACATAGACACAAAGCTCTAAATACAACAAAGATTATTCTTTACTCTATCAGGTCCTTTTGTTGAGTTGAGCAATGTTCTTCCTTGAAGATGGCCTTCTGTTCAAGCTTGTGAATTTTCAGAGAAAATTGAAGTTTAATTTGCCAAGTCTTAAATTTGTGTTTGTTGGAAAGAGATG